ATATATATATATAGCCACGAATACAGATAGCAATGTCTCCTGCCGCTGCAATTTGTCCACATTTTTTATATAAGCTTGTAAATATGTAAAAGCCCGAGAACGCCAGTAAGCACAAGTAAAATGAGTTATAATTACTTTCTTTTGTTTCTATCTCTTGCAGTGTGGATATCAAACACCGAGTTTAAACGAGATTGGAGAGTATTGGATGTGGTTGCAGCAGTCTGTGGCGGCTGTGGACGTGACAAATGAACATTTGATAAACATGGCAACGAGGGATGTACCAAAAATGTGAAACAAACTGTTAGAGATACTCTGTAGACATTCTGATGTTGCGACATGGCAATTAACGTAAACAAATCCCACCTGTATGCTCTCTCACTTCCAATTTATAGTTTTTCAACTCTCCAAGTCCACTTTGTAGCAGGCTCAGCTTTGCTCCGGTGAGCTACCTAAATGTAGCTATTCGGTTGCATCCATGTATTAAACGTGCATATTTCTAATGGTAGTAGTATCGAAGTACCATTTATGAGAGGTATAGCTTGTAAACAACGGCAGCCACCACCAAAACTATGGGAATTAGAAAGTTGATCGCCGAACTTCCACCGGAATTGGATACGCCTGAAGTCTTGGCCTCAGGTTTACTCCCCGAGACGAACTCACCTTCGAGTTCACCCTATGAATGGATAATGCAAATAAAATTTTAACATCAAAATACACATCCCGATGACATTCGAGAAGTGATACATTCGAGCCCGATGACATTCGAGAAGTGATACAGCCTGAATAGGGCGAAATTATGCGAAATATCAGACAGAAGATTAACCAACACTGCCATATTTGCGCAGGCAATGACGGTACAACCAAATAAACCGCGCCGCATACTGATTTACACGTTTATTCACAAATTTCCCTCGCAATTATACAAAGAGACAAACAGGTAATATTTAGTCGAATTCATGAAACGCTTCCATAGATCCTACGTGCTAGTACTTGTAGCAACAAGTACTGAGACATATTTATAATTGGTACACTTGCCGATCACCATATATGACGAACTTGAGGTCGTCACACACAAGAGATCAAACTGATTACGTACCTTGTAATAGTCGTCAAGCATATTAACAGCATCTGTGGAGTGACCAACGTCGTCGAATGCTATCGTCGCGTCAGCACCTGCAAGCTCTGACAATACTTCCTCGCCTCCTGGGTGCTCATCCTTAAAGGGCGTAATATCGTACACTTTACCATTGATTACCATCCAGATATCCTCATCTGTGTTGTGAGCGGCAACTTGATCGGGTGAGAATTTTTCGATCGACATGTTGAAGATTCGTTTGAGTGGCGAGAACGAGACTACTAGCAAAGGTTGTATGTGTCAAGTTCAACTATGTGTATTGTCCATATGTATATAGAATTTTCTGTGAGGCTGTCCTTAGTCCCAAATCCCAATATTTCAATGTCATACGCCGTCATGTGAATTTATAAATGTTTCAGACTTTTGTCTCTCCCTGTGGCCTGTGGCCTGTGGCCCGTGGGTGTGTGAGAGTTGGTGAGAGTTGAAGACTGATGAGAGCCTTGAAGACAGTCTCAAACTCTCAACTCTCAACTCACACAACAAGAAACACAACTCAACAAGTCACTCTCACGAGAGAGTTCTCAACTCTCAAGTCTCAACCAGCAGAGATGAACCTCGTTGTCACCGTCTTCCAAGGAAACGACATTGCGAGTATTTACGAATCTCGGGAAAGCCCTTCTCGCGTGAAAATTGACAGGGTTGAGTTTTAATTGGTCAAATCAGTCGATGGCAGACGGGCACAATGTGTACAAAATTTTGGTTTTTATCATAGCCTCCTAAAATAGAACAAAGTGGCCAAGTTTTTATCTTAGTCACAGCTGGTTTTTTCTGGGCAAGACTTCTGGGATAAAAATGAGAGGGGAGAATTTTTTGTTTTGTTTTGTTTTTTTGTTTTTTTTGGGGGGGTATAGGGATAATTTTATTATTTTTTCAAAAATGGCAAGCATGTATGATACAATGTATGAACATATGGTATGGCTCTCATAGTCGATGTGGTGGTTCAGGAAAGATTGATGGGAAGAAGTGGTCAGTAAATTCCCGTTTGAAGCTTGGGCCAAGTGAGTCGACAATGGAAGATATGTGCTGAGTCAATTCGGGCCGGGGATATAAAAAAAGTAATCTGGGTTTTGGGATTCGGATTAGCTTTTTGATATTCTGGTCCCTATATTCTACACCAATCCGGCATCAGTAGCATAGAAGTATGCAAGCATCTGGTAGGCTGCAAAAAGCACAGTACGCTTACGATCTGGTAGTCACTCTTATTCTGTCTTGCTACAAAACTTCTATGTATTTACTTCTTTGTTCTTCCATATATTTTTATAAAATTTGTTTTATAGCTTTCCACGCCATTTTTTTGTCGATGCTTCCTAGTGTGCGTATATTGGTGTCAAATTCATCTGATTCGCACACACGCTCTGTAGGAAACAATGATGTGAATGACTGAACCAACCAACCTAGGACTAGGTTAGTTTGCGAGTACCAGGTTAGTTGGTTCAGGGGACTTTTTCGAAAACGTTTGCTTGATCTGGACCATCGAATTCAAGCTCCGTTTTCGCTAACAATTGCATGTCGTTCCTCCATATGTTTGGTTTGGGTAAACTATAGAACTGTTCTAGTGAGGTAACAACATTTTCCACTCAAGATCTACGTATCGTGTCATCACTCGCACAGTTATAGGGATAATATTATTTATTAAGCAGTAGATTTCATCCGCCATATCGCAGTCCATCAAAACCTGAGATACTAAAGAAGTAGATGTATTTCTAAAAACGTTAAAAATGTTTACACCGTCAACTCGAGAATAATTTGAAACTTGTTCTCAAATTAATATATGTATAAGTGTGTCAGCCCGAAGGACGTAAAAGTAATTTGAGATTTCATCTCAGATTATTCTATTTGTAGGACACGGGCCACCGGCTAACCGAAAGCTGAGGCCCGAGTCTGAGAGTAGGTAACAGAGAAGGTGATGCATTTATGTCCAGATAAATAACAGTGTACTAAAGGGCCTTGTATAGGGTTTCTCATATTGATCATATGAATTTTTACCCTGGCCAACCCAAGTTGTCGAACACTAGTACAAACATCATTAGTATATACATGAGGGCGAGACCATAAATAAATCCATTCGAACGAATCACTCTTGATAGAAACATTTGCACTTTATTTAAAGTCTACTACGTTACAACACTCTAAAACCCCCCAAAAACCCTATGCTGATATCCAGTTTCCTTATTTTGCACTTGAGCACGAGCCGAGGGATCTACGCAACTCATTATTTGCTATTAAAAGGAATATCGGGAAAAATATTTATGACTCTGTATAGAGGAACGAATAAGGTAACTATATCGTGTTACGACAGTATTGTGTTCAAGTGTAGTGTGTTAAATCATTTGTGGTGATAATAGCGTGTCACAGGGAGAGCTTATAAGGCTGAAGAAGGAAAAAAAACCAGTGAAAAATTCAAAAGCTGTCAAGGTGAATGAATAATCAAAGCTAGAGATTTTCTAGGATTTTCAGACTAGCAAACTCCCTGACAGTAGAATCACAAACTCAAGGCTCCTAGACAAAGGTCAAGAAGCATAGCACATGCTCACCAACACAACAAGAGAGACAAGCATCAAGCAAATTGATAAGTAACTAAAATCACCAGCATATACAAAGTTATAGGAAGTAAAAGCATTATATGTGGCATAACATTAGACAAGAGTTACGCATAACTATCATAATCTGATTTCATAGAAATCAAAGATCAGAGAAATATCAACTTTCAAATTGAAGAATCATCAAATCACATCTTATTATCACACAATATTATAATATAGAAGATTCCGATAAGCAGACCATTTAATATTAGTGAGTGACAAACAACACACAAAATATAATAATAATCGCAACACGCAAGAAATCAGCAGAGGTCAATCAGATCTTGCACACAATATTACGTAGACACGTGAGGTCAACAGCAATAGCAGTGCATCACAACAGCACATACTGGCAAGGGACAAATAGTACCCAAGACAAGTGCAAGACAACAGTATACAGCTACAGAGAGAACGCATAAAATAGACAAGAGAAAGCACACTTTGACAAGCACCACACAATAAACTTTATAGAATAAGAAATTGCATAGAAGTCAACATTTCAAAGGATTGATCGCACACAAACCATATATAGGTCTATGCACAACGACGCAATTGCACCGGCATAAAAAGAACATACATAAATATTTATACATAAACACGAACTACGTGAAAAACACGGAGATCACGATTGATCAGGAAGGGATCACAGAAAATCTAACAATTAAGACATAGAAACACAAAACATATACGAACCACAAAGGGTGACTAAATGTAAGGCTAGCTAAACTAAGCAATGTATAGCCAAAGAATACATACAACACAGCCATCACAAGTGGACACATTAGAATATGACTTTGAATTCACAATTAAGATTCAAGGACACACCTATCGACAAGATATGTTATTAGAAACGCTAAAACTAGCCACTCAGGCAAAAATAGTCAAGAATCACAAGAATTAGACAGCAACAAACACCCAGCAATCACGCTGGACAACGTTGCAATTATCATACCTTCCACGACTAGCCACTCAGGCAAGAATAGCCAAGCATTAACAGAATCACATAACACATGCGATCAGCATCGTCCCTGGTTCAATACAAAACACATTGATAAGACATCAAGCGTTAACAAGAAATACTATTTGTAACCAAGAGACATAACTCAAAGGACACAGAACATCCACAACACACTCAGGATCTCGTTCAAACAAACATAGTGAACATAAGTAAAGGTCAAAAACACGCAGTCACTAGCACACAAAGCGTATGCAAACGATACGAGCAGTTGGGTACAAATATTGAGAC